CCTACTGTAAATATATCCAATAATAAATTATATTCAGACTCCCTGAAGTTTGTAAACACATATTATTTAAACCCTTTAAGTTTAAAATGTTAAATTTAGACCAATAATACTTTAATCAAAGATATAATATTAAATATTTTAAATTTTACAATTGAAATTCATGTTCTATTGTATCATTTATTGAAATAAAAATAAAAATATCGTAATTAGTATACAATTGTATTGTCTTTTGAAATTTAATTTGGTCGTTTAAACGACCAAATTAAAATATCAAACTATCTCAATTGAAGTTAAAAGATATTTTATTCATTACAATTTAACCCATTGTTTAATTTTTTAGTTTTATTATAATATATATTATAATTGTATACTAACTACGCTTTTTTTTAAAAAAAAATTACTTTTAAGTTTATTTAAATAAATGACATAATAGATCATGAATTTTGGTTGTAAAATTCATGTTCTATTAAGAATGACTTAGACCCCTTGTTTGATTTTTTTTGTTTTATTCCAATAGATAGTATAATTGTATACTAATTACAATTTTTTAAGAAAAAATTGAATTTTTATTTTAATTTTATTTCAATAAATGATACAATAGAACATAAATTTTTGTAGTAAAATTTAAAATATTTAAAATTTTATCTTTGATTAGAGTATTTTTTGTCTAAGTATAACATTTTAAATTTAAGAAGTTTAAGTATTATAATATGTGTACAAACTTTCAAGGGGGTCGGTGTAATTTATTAACGGATATATTTATAGCAGAGGTCTAAGTTTCACGAGCGTACAAACTTTAAGGGATCTGTGTGTAATATTTTAAATATCAGAGGATCTGGGTGTAATTCTCCCTATTTTATTTTTATCACTTTTGACTCTAATTTTGATTCAATAATATAATTTACACAAATATTAAATTACAAAAATATTCATTATTTCTAAATAAAATTGTATATAAAAAAACCCGCAAGCAGGCTCGCCTAACAAGCCCACCCCAAAAGTCCTGTCCAACAAGTCTGCCTAATAGGCTCACGAGATGGGTTGCAGGTAACCTATCCTGACCCAAAACCCGGCCCGGCCCATGTACACCCCTAAGTATTCCTAAATGGGCCCATATTTTGTTTAAAATGCTAATATCATATTTGAATGAAGTATTAGTGTATGATATTAAGTTCAAAAAAACAAAAATACCCTACATTAATGCATAGTTGTTTAGCCTATAAAGATACTTTTGTTATTTTTAAATATCAATATCAATTGTAGTTCATTTAATACCATATATTATATAGTATTGATTTATAAGGAGTGTAGTGTTAAATAACACTTTAACATGAATCTTATGCTTGTAACTTAATTCAAATTTAATATTAAATGATGATTGGACTAGTTTATTCTAATTCATCTATATTATAAGATAGCTCATAAGTTGAATTTTATCCCCTACACATTTTTTTTCTAAAAATATTACATCACTCATTTCTATAACATGTCTGATTATTTTAATATTTAATTAATTCATAGTTTAATATAATTTTTATTTCAAATATTATCCATACACAATAGTATACATATGTTGAGAAAATTTTATCAAATTACGTATTTTGAAAATTTATTATTTAATATAATGGGATAGATTTTTTTAAGCGCTCGAATTTTATGTTTCATCATGCCTACAGACACGGGTTATGACTAATCCATTCTTTAATACCTCCACTAAAGAAGTTGTCTTGTTTAAAATTTGTGGGCCAAACTCTTATCCAAATGGATAAATATAATGTTTTAGTGCGTCTGAGTTCCCAACCCTACTTAGGTTTGTCGTTCGTGTCGGATGAGACGAGTTCATGTTAATTTTTTTTTTTTTTTACTTATAATTGGTTTATTTATTAATTTATGTTTAACTAATGGTATTATATCGAATTCGTATATAATTTTTTTTATGTAGTTTTTGCGCATGGCTTATATATAATATATAAATAAGTCGTATCCTTTATATGAATTAACTTGGGATAATCTGTGCCTAAAGGTACGGTGCAACTAAAAAAAATTGAACATTAAATTTAAACGCGAAATAATCAAGCACTGAACTCAAACACATATTAAATTGAAAGTCTAAACTCGTCTTATATCACGTGTCTGAAGGCACTATACATAGTTTTTAAACACTAAATAACCAAATAATGAATATTAAAATACATTAAGCCGAAAATCGTGTGGTCATTTTTAATGCTATGATTTTAGTGAAATAAAAAGGGTCAAAAGTTGTCATCAACCAATACTTTGACCACCTAAATTTAAAAAAAAATTACATTAAATCAGGAACACTCCAAATTACACAACTAACCAAACAAGAAAAAGAAAAAAAAGGAACTAAAAGTCACTTCCGTGATCTTTCCAAAACCATCACCACCTAACACTACTGCAACAAATGCCCACAATATCACCNGATAGTATAATTGTATACTAATTACAATTTTTTAAGAAAAAATTGAATTTTTATTTTAATTTTATTTCAATAAATGATACAATAGAACATAAATTTTTGTAGTAAAATTTAAAATATTTAAAATTTTATCTTTGATTAGAGTATTTTTTGTCTAAGTATAACATTTTAAATTTAAGAAGTTTAAGTATTATAATATGTGTACAAACTTTCAAGGGGGTCGGTGTAATTTATTAACGGATATATTTATAGCAGAGGTCTAAGTTTCACGAGCGTACAAACTTTAAGGGATCTGTGTGTAATATTTTAAATATCAGAGGATCTGGGTGTAATTCTCCCTATTTTATTTTTATCACTTTTGACTCTAATTTTGATTCAATAATATAATTTACACAAATATTAAATTACAAAAATATTCATTATTTCTAAATAAAATTGTATATAAAAAAACCCGCAAGCAGGCTCGCCTAACAAGCCCACCCCAAAAGTCCTGTCCAACAAGTCTGCCTAATAGGCTCACGAGATGGGTTGCAGGTAACCTATCCTGACCCAAAACCCGGCCCGGCCCATGTACACCCCTAAGTATTCCTAAATGGGCCCATATTTTGTTTAAAATGCTAATATCATATTTGAATGAAGTATTAGTGTATGATATTAAGTTCAAAAAAACAAAAATACCCTACATTAATGCATAGTTGTTTAGCCTATAAAGATACTTTTGTTATTTTTAAATATCAATATCAATTGTAGTTCATTTAATACCATATATTATATAGTATTGATTTATAAGGAGTGTAGTGTTAAATAACACTTTAACATGAATCTTATGCTTGTAACTTAATTCAAATTTAATATTAAATGATGATTGGACTAGTTTATTCTAATTCATCTATATTATAAGATAGCTCATAAGTTGAATTTTATCCCCTACACATTTTTTTTCTAAAAATATTACATCACTCATTTCTATAACATGTCTGATTATTTTAATATTTAATTAATTCATAGTTTAATATAATTTTTATTTCAAATATTATCCATACACAATAGTATACATATGTTGAGAAAATTTTATCAAATTACGTATTTTGAAAATTTATTATTTAATATAATGGGATAGATTTTTTTAAGCGCTCGAATTTTATGTTTCATCATGCCTACAGACACGGGTTATGACTAATCCATTCTTTAATACCTCCACTAAAGAAGTTGTCTTGTTTAAAATTTGTGGGCCAAACTCTTATCCAAATGGATAAATATAATGTTTTAGTGCGTCTGAGTTCCCAACCCTACTTAGGTTTGTCGTTCGTGTCGGATGAGACGAGTTCATGTTAATTTTTTTTTTTTTTTACTTATAATTGGTTTATTTATTAATTTATGTTTAACTAATGGTATTATATCGAATTCGTATATAATTTTTTTTATGTAGTTTTTGCGCATGGCTTATATATAATATATAAATAAGTCGTATCCTTTATATGAATTAACTTGGGATAATCTGTGCCTAAAGGTACGGTGCAACTAAAAAAAATTGAACATTAAATTTAAACGCGAAATAATCAAGCACTGAACTCAAACACATATTAAATTGAAAGTCTAAACTCGTCTTATATCACGTGTCTGAAGGCACTATACATAGTTTTTAAACACTAAATAACCAAATAATGAATATTAAAATACATTAAGCCGAAAATCGTGTGGTCATTTTTAATGCTATGATTTTAGTGAAATAAAAAGGGTCAAAAGTTGTCATCAACCAATACTTTGACCACCTAAATTTAAAAAAAAATTACATTAAATCAGGAACACTCCAAATTACACAACTAACCAAACAAGAAAAAGAAAAAAAAGGAACTAAAAGTCACTTCCGTGATCTTTCCAAAACCATCACCACCTAACACTACTGCAACAAATGCCCACAATATCACCACAAAATTCAACACAATAGATTAAAACCAAAGCAAAACATTAGAATGTTTAAAAGCAACAACACAATAACAACATTTTAATAGCCAAATTTCAACTAACACTTCAATTCACAAAATTCACTGTCCATTAATTGCCCGTCAGGAAATTCATAGCACATTTAAAATTATATTAAAAATTTAAAATAGTAGAAAAAATACACCCAAAATTTAAAGTTGTCATGACTCCTTGACATCAATTATGAATCCGTGCAATGCATCGGTCAGAGCAAAGAAATGAAATGCACACACAGACAAATTAAGTATATTATGAATCCACCAGCAAAAATGTTTTCTTGAAAAAAGCCAAAGCAAATTGGAAGCCACCAACAGCCAAAAGAAAAGTAACTGAAAACAACAAATATATTTCTTTTTTGAAATTTTTACCCTATCCAACACAGCCCCATACTCCACCTTATTCAACCCCATTTGGCCGAGAGGCTTTGTGTGTGTTGTTTGTGTATGAGAAAGGTAGAAGGAGGGCGGGAGAGGGTGGGAGAGAGATGTGCTTGCAGACAGCAATAGGTGTGGGTGTGGGTGTGGGTGTGGGTGTGATTTGTTTGTGCTCGTCTCTTAGACATTTCAACAAACATGTCATGGGCATTATGATTGGGGTATGGCTTTTGGGCATTTCAACAAACACGTACAGGGTCATTGTTAGTGTGCTTAACATAGTGTTCCATGTATATACAATCAACCGCAGGGATGGCTTCAATGCTGACTGCACACAAACTAGGAATAAGTTGATTGGTGCTTCAAGGCCCCGTGATCGAGATGTCACAAAAGGAGAAACTACTTCAAGGATAAATGAAACAAACATTAAAGATCATGATGCTTTTAGGTGAGGCATTCATATGTGGCATTTCTCTTTTGCTTACAAGATCTTAAACGTTGATTTCGAGCCAACTTTTTCAAGAAATAGAATTTTATTTAAACTACACAATGGTAATTGACAGAATGGTCGCTTTATCCATGAAACGGCACTACACAAAGGCAATCATTTCTAAACTTCAAAAATCACTTTATAACAGAAATTGGACATAACCCAATAGATAATTCTTACATAAACCCTAATAGTTGATGGATTCAGGAAAAAATAGATGTTGGAAAAAAGAGACTTGATAATTCTCGGTATAACGCTGATGAAAAGCAGAAAGAGGAAGAAAATTAGAAACTCAAATAGAAAAGAAACGTACTTACAGGCATTTTAATGGGTTTGAACTCCTACAGCAGCATTGAGCATCCAAAGATAGAACTTGGCAAACTCTGATGCCAAAACTACCACCACTTAGCATATAGTGACTACCATACCATATCAAGCAGAACCAATCAAAGTTGATAACCATGAATAGGACTTGTTACAGTACCAATTAAAAAAAATTAGTAACATACCTCTAAAATTTTCGACTTTTTGTGGGTCATTTTATAACTCAAAATTTTATAGATATGTTATAGATATATGTGTGTGTGGGAAGGGGTGTAGGTGGAGCTGATTGAGGCAATAGGCATTTTGAGAACACTTCTTGTGCATTATGACAAACTCAAGACTGCCACCACCATCCCCTTTTTCCATATCATTTGCATCTTAGAGAGAGAGAGAGACCGACCCAAATGTAATCGACACAATGGTCGCTGCTTGTGAAAGAGAGGCAGATAGTAATGTGTGTGTGTGTGTGTATCGTCGTCGTTTAGGAGCAGTGGCTATATGGGTGTTATGTGTTGGGGCTCGGCTGGTAGAGGGGCAGAGAGAAAGAGAAATACTTGACAGTGGCAGTGGTGGCTGAAAGAAATACTTGGCTGTAGCGGTGGATGAAAGAAAAAACAGAAGGGGAAATGACTGTGCCATGAATTTGGGGAAGTGACTGCCTGTCTTGCCGCCTGACTGTGAGGTGAGGAAGGATGTGAGATAAGAGAGAAGGGACTGAGGTGAGAGTACTACGCAAATGGAAGGATATGACTCTTGCAGAGTACTATGCAAGATTGTCTAGGTTAGAAGTTAGATTATTCCCAAGATTTTCAAGCAGATTGTACTGGAAATAGTTCTAAGTTTTAGAGGCTTATAGGCGAAAAATGAGTATATGATTTTTTTGCAAGTCTCAATATAGAATATGATCAAATTCATATATAGGTTTTGGGTAAAGATCATTTTCTTTCCTTAAGGCAAACCCATGCTTATGTATAGTAGGAGGAGTGCCACGCTTCACACACTTGCTCATGATCTATCTATTCTAGTAACTATTCCAAAGAGAGAATAAATCATTTCGGCCTCATGGTGATGGTAAAAATGGAAGAATAAAAAAGGATATGTTAAAATGTGACTATTATGGAAAGATGAGGCATATTAAAGACTATTGTTGAAATCCACATGGTCGTCATTCTAAAGGCATAGTGGTAACAAGGCTAGTCCTATGCGCTCACATGCCCATGTGATTGAGATTGTTGATACTAATCCCAGTGGTCCATCTCTATCTCCTTGTATTGATAGTGTGAGTTTCACCGCATATGAGATGCAGGCTTTCAGGCTTCTAACGGCTTGGCTTGATACTTCTTTAGCATCTACTTCCAACTTTGCTTACATAGGTATACATGCTAACGTTTTTATTGCATCTTGTTTCCCTAATCCTCGGATTATAGATTCCGAAACCACTGACCATATGACAGGTTCCTCAAGTCTGTTCTCATCTTATTCCACATGATTGCGGTAGAGATAAAGTTTGGATAGCAGTTCAACGTAGGCCGATAGAGGTACCAGTTTGAAAAAGTGATAGATTTTTTTTTAATGGTACTAGAAATAGGGGTAGACCTGAATTAACATCGAATGAAATAATAAGAAAAGATATAAAAATACTTAACTTAAATGAGCGCTAGCGCATGATCGAAATGATTGGCGAAGACGAACTTATATAGCTCACCCAAAATGATTGGGACATAAGACTTGATTTGGTTTGGTTTGGTTATAAAGTTAGGGTAGCATATGACTCATTGTCATCTGTATCAGGGAAATATTTCATTCATTGTTCTTCTTCAATGTCTTTGTCTTCAGTTCTTCATGTCCCTAACTTTTTTTACTAACTTGCTCTCACTCAGTAACATTCCAAAGTCTCTAAACTACTCTATAACATTTTTCCCGTCTCGTTGTGTTTTTTAGGACTGGGAATGGGAAGAATGATTGGCAGTGGTATAGCTCATAATGATTTATATCTGCTGGAGGATCAACCTTGTTAGGCACTTCAGGTTTCTGGACTTGTGGCATTCCAACAGTTACACCAATGACATCGAAAAATTGGTGATCCATCCGTAGGAGTATTAGAGAATTTTTTTCCCAAATTTGATGAATGTAATAAAGATAATTTTTTTTGTGATGCTTGTGAATTTGTCAAGCATAAAAGAACTTCTTATCTTAGTAATAATAATAGAGGCACTGCTCCGTTTATGATTATTCATTATGACGTTTGGGGACCATCTCATGTTGTTTCTCTTGTTAGATATCGATGATTTGTTATTTTCATTGACTGCTACACTCGGGTTACTTGGGTTAATGTGATGCAAGCATAGTAAGGATAAAATGTTTACTTGTTTCAAGAACTTTCATAAACTGGTAAATACTCAGTTTGATGCCAAAATTAACGTTTTTAGGATTGATAATGGGATTAAGTATTTTAATGGAGAATAACGGGCTTATCTTACATAACATTGAACTATTCACCAATCTAGTTGTGTGAATACACTTGAGCAGAATGATGTAGCATAGAGGAAGAATCAACATCTCCTTGAAATGAGAGTTCCTTGATGTTCACCATGGGTGTTCCTCTGTGTTTTTGGGGAGATGCAGTGTTGATTGCTACATATCTCATTAATCAGATACCTTCATGAATTTTTGATTTTGATACTCCTATAGGGTTGCTTCAAGGGTCAGTTTTTTTTTTACTCTATTTGGTTGTGTGTGTCTTATGCATGATTATCGAAAGACCAAGGAAAAGTCAAATCTAAAGGCGTTGTGTTGTATCTTTATTGGTTACTCTACTACTCAAAAAAGGTATAAGTGTTATCATCTTCAGTCCCAGAAGGTGTATGTTGGCTTGAATGTCACATTTCAAGAGACAGAGTCCTATTTCTCCACTCTTCCACCATCTCTTCTGGGGAACAGTGTATTGAAGAAAAGATCCTAGGGGATGGATTCTTTCTCTTAACCCCCAATCAAGCTTGAGTCAGGGAAAAAAACTAGCTAGGGGGAGCCTCACAGAGAAACACCTCCTTAAGGAGAATAGACTACTTGTGGAAGATTAGATTGGAAGAATTTGATGCTATACTTAACGACAAGCTAAGCAGATTACCACCCATGAGTCACCAAGTCAATCATCAAATCCGGACTCAGTTTTTGATATCTCTTCTCCTTTATCAGGTAATGAACCTCTTTGTAGTAATTGTGTTGATGATATTTCTTTACCTATTACTATTCAAAAAAGAGTTCGAACTTGTACCCAACATCCTATTTCTAAATTTATTTCATATGACTCTTTGTCTTCTTCTTATCGTGCTTTTATTTTGTCTTTGTCTTCTATATCTCTTCCTCAAAGTTGGAAGAAAACTATTGCAGAACCCAAGTCAAAAGCAGCCATGGTAGAAGAAATGAGAACTCTGGGAAAGATTGAAACCTAAGAGCATATGTCTCTTACACTAGAAAAAAATCAATAGGTTGTAAGCGGGTGTTCATTGTCAAGCAGAATACAGATGGTACAATGAATAGATACAAAGTAAGGCTGGTAACTAAGGGGTTTACTCAGACATATAACATCGACTATTAGGAGACATTTGCTCCTGTGGCCAAAATGAATTCCATTCATATCATTCTTTCTTTTTTTGCCAATCTGGGATGAGATTTACGACAACTGGACGTAAAGAATGCATCCTTCATGGAGACTTAGAAGAGGAAGTGTACATGGATATTCCTCGAAAATTTCTTCTCCAAGTATAGAGGGAAAACTGTGTAAGCTAAAAAAATCTCCTTATGGACTAAAACAGTCTCCTAGAGCCTGCTTTGACAAATTTCATAAGGCAATGATCAAGTTTGGGTATAAGCAAAGTCATGTAGATCGTACGATATTCATCAAATAAGGGAATGGTAAGATCTCAATTCTTATAGTATATGTTGATGACATAATACTTACAGGTCATGATGTGGAGGAAGTGTCCAAACTGAAAGTTCGTCTGGCTAAAGAATTTAAGATCAAGGATTTGGAGTGGTTACGCTATTTCCTAGGGATTGAAATGGTCAAGTCAGATAAAGGCATTTTCATCTCATAAGGAAGTATATCCTTGATTTCCTGAAGGAAATCAGAATGCTAGGTTGTAGACCTACTGACTCACCTATTAAGGCAGCCACAAACTAAAAAGTGATGAAAGTGATCAAGTTGAAAGAGATATAAGCAATTTGTTGGGAAACACATATGCCTTTCTCACACATGCCTAGACATAGCGTATGCAGTGAGTGTCATTAGCCAATTCATGCATGACCCTCTGGTTCCTCACCAAGAGGCAGTTCATCATATTCTGAGGTATCCCAAATCATCATCAGACAAAGAAATATTGTTCTCGAAGCAAGATCATCTTAAAATAAAAGCTTCACAGATGCAAACTGGGCATGCTCAATTGAGAATAGGAGGTCCACTATAGGTTATTGTACTTTTACTGGAGGAAATCTAGTTATTTGGCAGAATAAAAAACAAGTAGTGATGGCTAGATCTAGTACAAAGGCATAATACAAGGTCATGGTTCCTGANGAGGAAATCTAGTTATTTGGCAGAATAAAAAACAAGTAGTGATGGCTAGATCTAGTACAAAGGCAGAATACAAGGTCATGGTTCCTGATATTTGTGAGTTTACGTGGTTGAAAACCTTGATGGAAGACTTTGGTGTCCCTAATGATGAACCTATGCGCTTGTATTTTGATAATACGACTGTTATAAATATTGCTTACAATTCAGTTCAGTATGACAAAACGAAACATATTAAGATTGATAGACACTTCATTAAAGAGAAGTTAAGTGATAGGCTGATTTGTATGTCATTTATGACGTCCAAGGAACAACTAGTTGATGTATTTACAAAGGTGCTTAGCAGTAGAAATTTTCATTCACATGTATGCAAGATGGGCATAAGAGATATTTATACTCCAACTTAAGGGGTCCTGTAGAATGTTAGGTTATTTTACTCATGCGTATTATTGTAATCTTCACTTTATTATGAGTTAATATAAATATGGGTGATGAAAAGAGGGGTAGGTTAACAATCATTCTCCTTAACCCTATTTGCTAATCTCTCCCTTGTCTTTCTCCTCTCTCGCCTCTTTTTCACTCTAAACCCTAAGATCTAAGATCTTTAGATTTCAATTGATACATTAATATTTATATACTAAATCTCCTACTAAAATTCTAAAATAATTTCATAATCAAACTCTCAAATTACTCACTCACTAAAACTCTATTAATAATTTCCTAATCAAACTCTCATTACTCAAAATTACTAAAACAATTATAGTCAAATAGATATAGCCTAATTAATATAATAATCTTAAAATAACTAATAAATTAAAATTCTTCAATTTAAGCTTAGCCTTTTTTAAAAAATTTATTCGAAAAATAAAATAGGTAAACAATCAAAGCAAAATGTATTAGGGAAATATTGCTTTGCAGAATTATGTTAGTCATACCGTAATTTCGCGAAAAAAAAAAGGGGGTCTAATATTTGTTTACAATAGAGCCATCCTTCAAATATATTGGAGAAATGCTCTAGGAAAAATCATTCAACTTTGTCAACTTATATCAATATTGGTAACATATATAGCCAACATCCTGCAATAAAAATTAAGAAAACTCGTGGTAAATCCAACAACCTGCAACTGTCCACAAATTGGGATTTCTATTGAACCTTTTTTTATTTTCTGGTGATAAAGATGGATAACATACCCCTAATATTCCAATACAGTAATTTCGGTCAAATATCTAGGAATCTTATACTTGATGCAACTTTGTTCTTCCATCGAATGTCTTTAATATCTTTTCTTCACCTTGGTCCAGATAAAACTGATGGCAGAAGTGGTGTAGCAGCACGAACAACGTCCTCCTTTTCATAAACGGTTGCAGTTGTTCTTGATAAATGTTGACCGACAAAGCTATAATCCAAGTCGCTTTCAACATCCGCAGAACCCTCCAAGACCTTAAACACAGTTGACATGGAAGGCCTCCTCTTAAAATCACTTTGTAAGCACCAGGCAGCTAGCCTCATCGTCTTCACAATCTCAGGTCCGTGCAACTGCATGTCCTCACTGCACTTGTCAACCATATCTGAAAGTTGTCCTCCTCTTACTTTTCTTTGAAAAAGACTTAATAAATGCTTATCTTCCTCAGGCTGTAATNCTGTAGAATGTTAGGTTATTTTACTCATGGGTATTATTGTAATCTTCACTTTATTATGAGTTAATATAAATATGGGTGATGAAAAGAGGGGTAGGTTAACAATCATTCTCCTTAACCCTATTTGCTAATCTCTCCCTTGTCTTTCTCCTCTCTCGCCTCTTTTTCACTCTAAACCCTAAGATCTAAGATCTTTAGATTTCAATTGATACATTAATATTTATATACTAAATCTCCTACTAAAATTCTAAAATAATTTCATAATCAAACTCTCAAATTACTCACTCACTAAAACTCTATTAATAATTTCCTAATCAAACTCTCATTACTCAAAATTACTAAAACAATTATAGTCAAATAGATATAGCCTAATTAATATAATAATCTTAAAATAACTAATAAATTAAAATTCTTCAATTTAAGCTTAGCCTTTTTTAAAAAAATTATTCGAAAAATAAAATAGGTAAACAATCAAAGCAAAATGTATTAGGGAAATATTGCTTTGCAGAATTATGTTAGTCATACCGTAATTTCGCGAAAAAAAAAAGGGGGTCTAATATTTGTTTACAATAGAGCCATCCTTCAAATATATTGGAGAAATGCTCTAGGAAAAATCATTCAACTTTGTCAACTTATATCAATATTAGTAACATATATAGCCAACATCCTGCAATAAAAATTAAGAAAACTCGTGGTAAATCCAACAACCTGCAACTGTCCACAAATTGGGATTTCTATTGAACCTTTTTTTATTTTCTGGTGATAAAGATGGATAACATACCCCTAATATTCCAATACAGTAATTTCGGTCAAATATCTAGGAATCTTATACTTGATGCAACTTTGTTCTTCCATCGAATGTCTTTAATATCTTTTCTTCACCTTGGTCCAGATAAAACTGATGGCAGAAGTGGTGTAGCAGCACGAACAACGTCCTCCTTTTCATAAACGGTTGCAGTTGTTCTTGATAAATGTTGACCGACAAAGCTATAATCCAAGTCGCTTTCAACATCCGCAGAACCCTCCAAGACCTTAACCACAGTTGACATGGAAGGCCTCCTCTTAAAATCACTTTGTAAGCACCAGTCAGCTAGCCTCATCGTCTCCACAATCTCAGGTCCGTGCAACTGCATATCCTCACTGCACTTGTCAACCATATCTGAAAGTTGTCCTCCTCTTGCTTTTCTTTGAAAAAGACTTAATAAATGCTTATCTTCCTCAGGCTGGAATCGATCCAAATTTTTTCGCCCGCACACAATTTCTAAGACCACGACTCCAAAACTGTAGACATCTACTTTCTCTGTTATAATTGAGCCCAACCATTCAGGTGCCATATAGCCTAGAGTTCCTCTCAATGTTGTGACAACTTGGCTTTGGTCCTTGTCAATTAATTTCGACAATCCAAAATCAGAAACTTTTGCATTGAAATTTTCATCTAATAGGATGTTTTGAGGTTTGATGTCCAAGTGAAATATCTTCTGTCTACAGTCTTCGTGGAGATAGGCTAATCCTTTGGCTATGTCTAAGATGATCTTCCTTCTTGATTGCCATCCTAGAGCATCCTCTTGGTTTCTTCTGAAAATCCATCTATCCAAAGATCCATTACACATGTACTCATGAACTAGAAGCCTATACGACTTTTCAGCACAAAATCCAATCAGTCTCACCAAGTTGACATGGTGAATGCTACCTATTGTCTCAATTTCAGCTAAGAATGACTTCTTTACTTGACCCAATGCACTGAGATGCTTCACTGCTACTTTGGTGCCATTGCTCAGAGTCCACTCAAAGACCGATCCGAATCCTCCTTCCCCAAGTTTTTTGTTGAAGTTTTCAGTCACATCTTTCAAGTTTTTGTATGCAAATCTTGTGGGCATCCCTGGTACTTGGTCCAAATAATCCTCCTCAACCTCCTTGGATGTAGTAATCCTTCTTACAAGGAAAAAGCAAGCCCCCATCATAAGTAACACACCAATGAAAGCTCCGAGACTAGCTCCCAGTATGAATGATGGGGTTCCCCTTGATTTTTTTGCAAGAAGACTACCTGATGAACTCGTCTGCACTTTAACAAACATTGAGGAATTACGCAGATGGAATGAAGATTGAATGTTTATAAGAGAAACGACTTCAGATAGTAACAGGCAACCTCCCCGTAGAGGATCCGAATTATATGCAAAAACAGCAGCTTTACAGGTACAGTTTTTCAAGCATGTATTCATACAATCCTCTAGCTCCATCATCTCATCCCTCAGGTCTGATCTATAAACAAAGTAATCAATATCCTTAAGCTCCACAAGCTTATGATATTGAGAAAAGTCACAAGAAATAGGTATGTTAAGGGAACATCCGAGATTGGGTTGTCTAAAATTAATTTGCGAGAAATCGGTTTGTTGAGAACAACTGCACTGCCCATCTGAACAAATGCCGTATTTTCCACACACCATAGGGTACCCGCAGTCACCGAATAAATCGTTTGTCAGGAGATCTTGCTCTTGTCCCCAACTTGATCCTCCCCATGCATAAACCTTTAAATGTCCATCAGGCTCCAACTTTATGAATTGGGTTGTATTTGCAAGACTAAATTTGTACCTTCCTTTCCCGAGTTTGACGAAAGTGTCCCCGATATAGTAATCTTCAGAATCAAAATAGACCTGCGGTGGGTTGGACTCTATGTAAGCAATCAAACTTCCATTGTCAACTGCAAGTGAGTACATACCTCGCCTGGAATTATATGTTGATACGCTAGCTGTCAGTGTCTGTCCGGGATTCAGCGTCTGCCCGAAAACTAACGAGTCTGTAGGGTGATCGAATGACTGCCAAACCGTTGCATTACTCGTATCAAAAAGCACCAGGTTTCCCATTTCTGTCAAGTTTAAGCCTGAAACATGTTTTCCACTTGTGTTTGTTGACCATACCAAGGTTCCATCTACGTCTGCCAGGACCAAATCTCCATCTTGTGTGAGTTCCAGTGTGGCATTGATTTTGACCGGGTTGTCTCGGTTGGCAGACCAGATTATCTGCGGGTGATCTATGATCTGATTGCTCACATCAATTTTTTCTGGGGAGATAAGAATAGCAAAGATGCATTCGGTGCTACTATTTGCTTGGCAATAGAAGCCACTGACAAATTCTGGACGAGAGTTTCCTCTATGAAGTATGGCAGTGAATGTGTCTGAAAATGGCAGTGAATTATTCATAAACAACTGGAACTGGGCGATTGATCCATTTGCATAGGCGAGACTATTGATCCAGGAAGTTGACAAGTTGGCCATCGAACGATTTAAAGGTTGGGCAATGATCAAATGACAAGAAGAGATGAGAAGAACAAGAAACAGAATAGAACAACAAAGACTCTGCCCCAATCCCATTTCTATGCTCAGAAAAAGCTTGAGGAGATGGAAGAAGATCAAAGCTACCCTGCTTTTTTTGCCCGGAAGGTTAGTGCTTCTTGACTGCCAATGATATAGATATATCAAGTATGACTTTATTTTTCTAGGATTGACTCTGTCTCTGGTGGTTGCCTGGCAATAATTGAAAAATGCTGCATATTATGAGTGAAAATGCTCTCTTTTCCTCTCTAAGCATGATTTACTTTTGTAACAGTTGTTCGATTTTGTTCTTTCGGTTTTTCCTGGGTCGCCATGAATCTGACATCTTACCTTACATCCATACGTTTTTACATATACATTTTTTTTTTCGGTTCAATGGTCTGTGGTATCTGGATTAGATTATACACATTTCGATTAATCTCCTCTTCAATATGATCAAAAGGAGATCATTTACGCGCAAGACTATAGTATTCATGCGGAATAAATTTTTCATAATTTAACTTCAAATGATTACTAAAATTCAAATTTAAAACATTAGAGTTACAGTTCATTCATTTTATCACTTGAGCTACCATTTACCATTGAGGTCTGTATATATAAATTTTAGGCATCTCTCTTGTGGTATAAGTTTATGGCACTTTACCATTTCAAAAATAACTACACAATCCCCATGTATTTTTTTGGACTAATCTATGCAATTAACTCCATTAACGGAAGTGGTTACACCATCTTGAAACCTATACTGGCTTCCTCCTCCTTTACAGCCAAGCGAATTTTCTCTATCTACAATGACTTTGTAACCCAAAACAATCTATATAATAAAATATTTAACAATTTGAATTTTAATTTCCTGCACATCTTTCTCCACAAAAAATATTACATCATTAATTTCTATTGTATATTCAATTATTTAATTTTTTATTAATTTATAGTTTAACATAATTTTTATTTTAGACATTATCCATATACGATAATATATATATATATGTTGAGAAAATTTTATCTAATTACGTATTTTGAGAAAAATTTTGTCAATATTTTTAAGAAAATAATTTTNTATATATATATATATATATATATATATATATATATATATATATATATATATGTGTTGAGAAAATTATATCTAATTACGTATTTTGAGAAAAATTTTGTCAATATTTTTAAGAAAATAATTGTTAAAAATAAAATTTAAATGATATAACCAAAGAAATAAAAAAAATTATTATTTAATATATTAAAATAAATTTTTTATATACTGAAATTTTATATTGTATTCTACCTTCGAGCCGGTGAGCTGACTAGTCATAAATGCAATATGACTACCCAAAAACTTCTTGAAGGTGTTGCCATTGGGGCCCTTTTGCCACAAAAGTCCTCCGTATGGCCAGAAACTCTTCAATTGAGAAAAAATGCGTTTCCTCTTTTCGTCTAATTCATTTAATTTTTAAAATTAATTATTTTTAAACTTATTTTTTAAACTCAATTTTTTTAAAAAAACATATCATTATAAATGACGTTTTTAACACGAATACGTCATTTCAACTGAAGTGTTTTAACAACTCAGAATAAATAGAAAAATCACTTTAAATGACGTGTCTTTCAAAAACGTCACTCGAAGTGGCGCTATGAATTATTTGGTACAAAAAAAACTCTCCCAACACTGCGCGGAAGTCTTCCGACAAAGTTTGAACTTTGAACGGATGTGCATTAGCAAGTCTTTGTAGCTTTTACATTGTAAAGTGGGTCCCATTAGCGTGTGAATTGGGAAGATGTGCAGTGGCAAGTCTTTGCAAGTTGCAACACGTGACAAGATAGAATCTTTTGAATTGTGGGTCCTATTAACACGTGAATTGGAAAGAAGTCTCAGTTAAATATAGAATCTTTCAATTGAAAAGATAAATTACACTTCTAATTTCCTTCTTGTTTTAGAACTGGACGACATCAACCCACCAAAACAAATTTTATTGGATTTCATCTTCTAAATAACTCAATTAAATTGCATTTAGAAAATTACACCTTATTTAAAATTAGAGAGAATTACATTCAAACTCTTTAATGTTTATCATTTAATCACTTAAATCTCTTGACATTTAAAATATTATATACAAATTCTTTAAGGTGTATACGCGCTTAGCATTTAGATCTTTACCATTTGTATATCCGTTAGTAAATTATATTAAGACCCCCTTGGAGTTTGTAGGCATGCAATATTTAGATTTCTCAAGTTTAAAATGTTATATTTAGACAAAAAATACACTAAGCAAAGAAAGAATATCAAATATTTTAAATTTTAAAACCACAATTTATATTCTACTATGCTATTTATTGAAACAAAATTAAAAATAAAAATTCAATTTTTTCTTAAAAATCCATAATTAGTATAGAATTATACTATAATTTTTTTCTTATAGCTAAAATATATTGTATTCATCACAGTTTAACCTCTTATTTGATTTTTTAGTTTTATTCTGATAGATAGTATAATTGTATACTAATTACAATTTTTTAAGAAAAAATTAATTTTTTAATTTTGACTTTATTTCAATAAATGATATAATAGAATATAAATTTTAATTATAAAATTTAAAATATTTGATATTTTATTTTTGATTGAAGTATTTTTAATCTAAATATAATTTTTTAAACTCGAAAGATATAAATATTATAAGCTTCTGCACCCTGGCATAATTTCGGCAGCAGAAGGTTCACCCATAATAGAGACTGCAAGGCTGAAAGCCATACACAGAAAGTCAAATGATTTGATAGAAGTACAACTAAGGCTTCCTATACTGCTAAAACTTCCATCTCACTTGTCAAAGAAATTCTTGAAGCTTTTCAGAATCGGCAAGCGGAGAAATTGCATGCCCCTGTTAGATTAATTAATTAGGCATTTTCCCCTGCAAGATACTATAAGATCAACATTGATGGAAGCTCCAAAGGCAACCCAGACTCAGCTGGTATTGGAGGCATTCTTCAGGATGACAAAGGGAAATGGATCAAGGGCTTCATTGGTCGAATTAACCATACACCAAGCCTTAAAGCAAACCTCTTGGCCATCCAACAAGGCCTACAACTGATTTTGAATAGGAGTGGGAACTACATCTTGGAGACTAACTCCTTAGAAGCCTTCAACCTGATGGCTGGACCCCAGTCACCTTGCCACCCCTTCAAAGTCCTGGTGGACAATTGCAAATTCATCAATTCTCTCGATGTTTCTTTGGTACATCCGCTCGCGAACTTAGACGTGAATCAGTTTGCTGATTTAGTTATTCTTGATGACGCACCTGATTGTGTTGTCCATTTGCTAAGAGCAAACATGTCTAGTACTTTGTTCTATTAGGGAACCCAATTAGAACTTGCTGAAATTCCCTCCGCAACACCAAAAAAAAAGTTAAATGATATAATCAACAGATAACGTCATCAACTTAGAATTAAAAATTTGATATTTTTCTAAAGGAAAAAAGAGAATATTCAATGATTAAAAATAAAATATGGTACCAGGTGGAAGTGGGTGATTGGACCTGAAGAAAATTTCAATGGAGAAAATGCAGACAAAAAGCAAGATGAAGAAGGAAGCCGAGAAAATTATTGCTCTCATTATCATCACATTTCGATTTAGAAATTAGAGACTCTATGTATAGAATGAAACTACAAGATCTTTGCGAGTTGTGTATACTAGTATTTTAATTTCTCTAATTTAACTTAATTTATGTTTAATAATATGGATATATGTTGAATCGGGTGAAATTAAGTTTATTAAATTTCGTGGTAACACAGAACAAACTGTTATAGTTATGTTTTGCACAAATTGAATTTTGGAGATAATTGATATGATGAAAGTGTAATTAAGCTACAGAAGATAATTAGTTACAAATCTAAATGTTTTTATGTCAAAATGACGTTACCATTGAATCTAGACTATTGAGAAAACTTGGGATGAAATTTAGTCGGTGTTAGGGTACCATGGGGTAAAATAATAATTTTGACATTTTGTGTGACGCCCCAAAATTCGGGTGTCTATAATTATCCGGTTGATCACCCATCAACCCGCGAAATATCTATGAATACTATATGATTTGATACCACGTCGTTATGCCCAATTTACTAGGATTCATAACTTAATAAAATTTGGACAGAGTCTCCTTTATACGGGGAGCTTTACCCAAAATACATGTGCAATCATACAACATTGATCACACCAGACCCAATCATCCATACTCAATGCATAGTACCGGATACATACGCATAGCACTGCATGTGTTGTGGGAGCTCAAGATAGAGATCGGTGTTGGTATTACTTGCGTGAGCCTCATCTCATAGCATGACGTGATTTATGGTATTTATTCATAATAGGCATATTTGAATGAATGCATGAAATAATTGTTGCATGTGACATTTCATATGCATTTGGGTTGAGAGATATTCTCTGTAGGAGTTACCCTATTGAGCGTTGGCTCACCCTTTATGGGAATATTTTTTAGATATCGCATAAGCGTCCACCGAAGGCGAGGCCATAAGCTCATTTTGACGACAGAGCCGGTTTGTGGCTCTTATTTTGACTTTGATGTCATTTGTATATGTTTACTTTTGGCCTTGTATATATTTTGTAAACAAAAACTTCTTTTATATTAAAAAAGCATGTATATGGACCTATCTCGCCACCTCTGGAGAAGAAAACAAAAGTTAGATTCATGACCTTCTTCCTCAGATCTATGAAGATTAAATCTTTTAATCGCTTCGGGCCAAGAATTAAAGTTACTCTACTCAACGAGAACTACGCAACCACGTCAAATATCGTATTTTTCTCCCAAAAAATATCAAAGACGATAATCTAAGCTTAAGGCTTGAGAAGCTATATTTAGGTTCCTTGGAGTTCTACTACGTGGGCTCAATCTACAAGACGTAGGGTTTCTCCTATTTAGATGTAATTTCAACCTAAA